GTCAGAGATTCTTTACAGTACTGTGAAGAAAAGTTGTCCACAAGGAAATGTTAAAAGCAAGAATATTAGACTGAGGGGATGTGCAGATGGGCTACCCCATGCCATGGCCCCAATCCTCCCTTTTTCCACCCCAAAAAGAGCAGCAAAATGCCCCTCCTTTTAGGGGCAGCAAAAGGCCATCCCAAGAGCTGGCGTGTGGCTCTTCCTCGCCCTTTCCAGCCCAGTGCGTCAGAACGCTGCACTGGGAGGGCACCCTGATGCTGCACACCATACATAATGGCACGCAGTGTCAGGACAGCATCAGCGTGGGGTTGGGGCCCCAACTCTGCCTCCAGGCCAGCCCCTTGGGCTGGTCTGCAGGGTCCCTGAGTTGTACTGTGCAATTAAAAATATGAGAAAAGTTTATACTTAACAACAAGAAGCAACAATCAAACCCCAATAAGGTTAGACTATCGAAAATGGTCCTTCTTTATTACACTAACCAGTGTTTGTGTTCTGTGTTATAGTTTAAAGATAAGCATCACAATTTGCAAAAGTACACCATTTTTTAAAAAATGTAATATTTCAGGGCTGAATCCTATTGGTAGTGCCAGGCGTTAAATCAATGGGAATCATTTACAAGTTGGTGCACCTCTGAATACTTGTTTTCACCATTCCTTGAATTTTCACCATACTGAAGGCCTGAATTGATCAGGCATCATTTTGACTTTGGTTTTCATGGCCAAGTGTCAGAATCAACATGGTGGTGCATCATTTCAAAATGGTAATCATTAGGGGAAGATGTCAGGTCTCTTGTCAAAAATGGTGGGTGAATCTAATGCAGTATTTTTTCTCTCTCTTTCTCAACTCTAGCCCTCAAGCCAACACAATTTTTAAACTAAATTTTAGGTGATTTTCTTCACTCCAAAGCAAACCAAAATGACCCACAGTTCAATTGACCTGAAAATGTGGCTTGCTTCCAGAGCCACTCCCAAACTCCTGAAACCTCCTCAGACTATTTTTTTAAAAAGACCCCAAATTGCCCCAAAATGGCAGCCAGAGATGACATGAGACATTTTTGGTGTGTTTGCATAAGATACATAAAGACAGACTGCTGTTGCTTACTCTGGTTCTACATGATGTCGTAGGTCACATTCAGTGACTGTTGCTTCCCCATTTGACTCACATGAACTTCAATGTGTAAACATTAAAGATTCCATCTGAAAAAGCATTGCACTAAGCCATATGTGCCATCTGTATATATGTAAATTAAATGTGCTTCATAAGGAACAATGGAGATGACAAAATGAATATTTGATTGCAACAGTTATGATGTGGAGAAGCTGAAGAACTGCCAAGAACCTTACTGAATAGTTTATAATCATAATGAATAGATTTGGAAAATATTATGAATTGTTTGTAGTCAAAAAGAAAGAGGGGGTGAATTGGCAGAATTCATTATTTTCTGACTTTCATTATTCATAAAGACTCAATTATCTTTGCTACAAGATAAATGATTAATACAGATAGGTTATGATGATATCCAGGACAAGAAGACAATTGAATCAAAAACTTTTTCAATGCATGGAAAAAGAGTTTCTCAGCACAGCACATGAACTTTTTTAGTTATAAATAAAATTGCTTTATGCTATGTTCATCAGAAATTCTTGTCCCAGACATCCAAACAACTGAAGTAACAATAGCCAGCCTACTTTAACAATAAGGCTGTCCATCCCTGAACAGTCTTCCACATGTCAGTATGGATTTCATTTCTTTTCATCTATCTGATTTAATTCCACCTTTTCCCCAATATAGGATCCAAAGCAGCTTACATTGTGATAAAACAAAATGGCTAAAACACTAAGGGCTGAAACAGACAGCCCGTACAGCCCTAAGCTAAGAAAATGTGCACATTTCAAAAAGGATGGAAAGGCAAGAGTTAAGGTACAGCATTAACTCTTATCAAAAAAGGAAAGTAGAGTGGTGAAAGGTGAGAGCTTATTCCATCCTGGGAGAACCTATAGGAAACACCTATTACCAGAAATGGAGCATTTTTCCATTCTCTGTGTGTGTATATAGTTCTGGCATTACTCTAAAATGGAAGTGCAGTTTCAGCCATGCACCCAAGATCGATTTGGTCACACAGGCCCTCAGAGGTAGATGGTCAGAAAGACTCCAGCATCCATTTACAGATTAAACACTTCTGCAAACAGAAAGATTCACATCTCAGGAGACAGGGAAGCCAGGACATTTACAGTCCAGATGAGCTTTGGCTGCAAGATAGATAAGCCCATTACCCCACTCTGGGAGCTATCTACTACAAAGAAGCATCTGTAGTGTTGATTTGGCCCTTTGATATATAACAACCAACCTTCACCCTGGGCTATTTTCAGACTATAAATGGACTGCCAAAATTCTGCTTAATGTGCCTGATTAGAATTCCTGGTGACACTACGTCACTTTGAATTCTGATCTAGCTTCAACTTGTTCTGTGTCCCCATTCATTCTCCCAGTCGAGTCTAACTTTACATCGGTCCATCTGGAGCACTCTGGACAGGTAATATCAACCTTAGAAAGCCACATGTCTATCCCACACTAACTTGCTTTATTCCTGAGGTCTTGTATGCTTGAATAAATATACAAATTGATTTGGAAAAACCTTGTCTCTATTTCCTTAGTATAAGCTGGGTTTGCCTCCTGCTAACTATTTAGCAGGAATTTTAATATTCCTCTAAGCCAAGTTCATATTACACACCAGCATCCTCTACTTTCTTCATGCTCCTTTGAGGGAAAGTGCCAAATAGCCACCACCATTATTTTCCCACCCAGGCAGAAGTGGCACCATGGCAGAGAAAGTAGAGTGGGTCCACACTTCTTTTAAGGTCTCTTGGGACAGACTAAGCTCTCGCCTTTTTCCACTCCACTCAGAGAAGGAAATGATTCCTTTTTTGACAAAGTACTGTACTTAAATTGATCTGATGATAAGTTGATCAAAATTTTTGGGTTATTTAGTATTTTTTTACTAAGTATTTTTTTTTTTACTAATACTAATTTAGTATTTTTTTTGCTATGAGCATATAGAGTAAGTTGTATTGGAATGTCATGTGTATCTAGATTGGAGCTTAGAAACTTTTGTACTGTTACTTACTTTTTAAAATCCAAATACCAGAATCCCTCAGATAGCATGGTAACCACCACATTAACCACAAGATTCTAAGCCCTGTCATCTAAAAACCCTAACTGTCCCAAGCTCTGATCTGGGTGTGCACTACTATCCTAAATTTATTCTCAAAATTTGTAGCAAATGTTTATAGTGAATATTTGAGACACCCTCTGCCCTACCCAAAGGCTCCACTCCCATTTAAGTGTAATTAGATATGACTTTTAATGTGAATAGGAATGCACATCTGCTTAAGAGAATACTGTCTTAGAAGTGACAGATGAATATGAGCAGTCCTCTTTACAATCAGAACTTCTGAAGATGTGAAGATATCTTTCAATGCCCATTAGAAAAGAGACAGCTCAAAGAAAGCATTTCTGATATTCTGATTAGCTTATTATCAATTTTTTAAAATAAAAATGCATGTATGTGCTGCCTGAATTGACAAAAATGCTGAAGTTGATTTATAATTAGTCATAAAATACGTGCTCATAAAAATATAAGAAAGGAAAACAGAAGCAGGAAAGCAACATTAAGAACAGATATTAGTCTCACCACTAAAACCAAATAAGATATTGAAAGAATGGAAAAATTCAAGGCCTTGAACACAGTTTAAATGTTCATGTTCTGTATTAAAGTGAGCAATCATCCAGTACACAGAGGCTGATCTGGAGAAAGCCAGGCCAGTCCCATGACCACAGATGCAGAAGCATAATCTAAACAGTTCAAAGGCAAATGAAGTAAACAGGCTTGAGCTGAGTCCAAAACTAAGAAGGGAAATGCCAAAGAGATTAGTCCAAATGCAAGCCCAGGGTCAGAGATACAAGAAGTTGAGAATATCACACAAGTTCATCAGAAGAATTGAATCTATTGTCCACTGCACCAGTATTGCTTTGGCTGAACTAATTTATAGCCAGCAATAAATTAGTACAGCTAACCTCATTAATCAGAAAAGCTTACTTAAGGCAGAGGAGATTTTTTGGTTCTCCTGTTCTTGGCATTTGAGCTATTGGCCTATGACAGGATGCAAAGGTTCCACTTCCTCTTCTAAAATCTGCAGATACTGCTTGGGATGGATCAGGCTTTGCTTTTGTTACAACAGGGCTGCCAGCCCCCTCTGACTCTGGCTAGGGAATCATCCTCCTGGCATTCCTATTCTTACTGATCTAAGGAGGCTTCCTCCAGGTAAGGAATTACAATCTAAATCATAGATGGGAATTGTATGATCCACAAGCTATATCTGATCCAGGAAGGCTTATGTGCCTTGACCCTCAAACCTCTAAGGGTCACCCTATCCAACACCAACATCACACTCTCAAAAAGAAAATGATGGGGGGGAGGGAATTTGCACCTCCAGAGGTCTTCAGGAGATGCAATTCTCTGCACTTGGGGAAAGCACCTGGAAAAGGACAAACAGTCCAACATACAAACTGCAACTCACAGAAATATCATGTCCCATTTGGTGAAATTAGCAATAGTTCAGCCTCAAGAGAAGATGGAGCAGTGGCCACTGGGACAACCATAGCTGGTCACTCCTGCTACAAATTCAGAAGTAGGTACTACTAGATTCAATAAGACTCACTCTCAAATAAGTACATTTTGGATTGTAGATCATAAACTGAATTCTACTATTATTCCTTAGTACAACAAACCTATTGAATTGATGGCCTTTCCCTATGTATTAACATAGTGTTGTTATGAATTGCCTTCATGTCATTTCCAGTTTATGGAGACCCTGAGATGAACCTATCCTGGGTATTGTTTTTGTTTTTTTGCAAGATTTTTTCAGAGGGGACTTGCCCTTGCCTTTCTTTGAGGCTAAGAGAGTATGGCTTGCCCAAGGTCACCCAGAGAGTTTTCATGATCAAGCAGGGACTCAAACCCTGGCCCTCTGGGGTCCTGGTTCAACATAAAACCACTACACTACATGGTCACTGTATTAACATGCCATTCAACTATTGATTCCATGGGTCTACTCTAACTGGCACTAACCAATAAAATTAAAGCATGTGTTTTGTCTTCTTGAGATAATCTCTATTAACCCCTATTTTGTATCTCTCAAAACCCACCTACTGGAATTAAGATATTCTTTGTGATTAATTTCACTATATAAAGGCTAAACACTACCAGTATTTTCTCTGTGGTTAGTGAACCATAGTCACATAGAACCACAAAACATGAACAACATGAACAACAGTTCAATCCTTCTCCTTTCAGACAATGAGCCATGTGCCTAGAAACAGACAAAATTCAGCATCCCCTTTCCTGCTAGATATTCAGAATGGTCCCTGAGATTTGATGCAGATGATGAACTTGGACCACCACTATCACTTCAACCTTCCAGTTTTAATTGCCTTGCATCTGATGCTGGCAGATGGGCAAACAAAATTCTGGGAGGGCTTGGAAAGACTCCAGGAAAGCTGACATCTTGTCAGCAAGTCATATTATGTTTAATTAAAATGGAGAATGAACTAGTTACAGAGGGCCAGACACAATCATTGAGATGAGATGTGAGAGATCTGAATTAGGTAGTGCATATGAGGCAGAACTTCAGCATACAAGAAGAAGGCAACTGAAACCTCACTATTCACACATGACTGCTGTGCAAAGTAGTAGGTTCTTGAAAAAGAAGGCTTATCAGAAGACAATGCAGCATCCACATTGGCTTCTGAACTAATTTCTGCAGTCCTTGAGAGCTATAGCTGTCTCTCTGTCCTGTAAACTGCTTCACCATGAGCTGTTAAGGCAGGAGTGGGAACTGGGTGGGTTTCATGTGGCCCTGAGGCCTAAGGCTTCCATGTGGTCACTATAACCACCAAAACCTATCTCCCACTGTTGTTGTTGTTGTTGACAAAAGTAGAGAATCAGATCTCCAGAAGTCTCCAGGGGGACAAGATTTTCATGTAACTTCTATCTTGCCCTCATCTTGCCTCTTGAAAAAGGCTCAAAATGGCTTCCTCACTTCAAAATAAGTTCTGTTTTTGCAAAAATGGGATGTTATGTGGGGATCTCATGGGTCATGGAAAATGGGGTGGGGATGAGCTACTTTGGACCATCTACCCTGGACCATCATAATGATCTGGTTAACAGCATGTAAGGGACCAAGGGAGGATGGAAGCTAACATTTATTATTTATTAAAAAAATTTCTAGTGTTTTTTTTGTGTGTGTGTTTTCAAGTCATTTTTTATTTATGGCGACCCTAAGGTGACGTTATTATGGGGTTTTCTTGGCAGAATTTGTTCAAAGGGGGATTGTCCCTGCCTTCCTCTTACTCTGAGAGATTATGACTTGACCAAGGTCTCCCAGTGGGTTTCCAAACCCTTAACCACAATTATACAGACCCATCCAAATAGTGTGTGGATGACATCATTGAGGAAAGAGAAGTAGAAGTATAGGAAAGAAACTTCCCTTTAGCTTCTCCTGTTATTGCCCCCAGTACTGGCTCTACCATAAGACAGTGAAACCATTACCTAGGGCAGTTGATTTCCAGAGCTGAGTAGAACCAGAAAGCCAGATCTCTCTCTCTCTCTCTCTGAAAACTCACATTAGCTGGAAAGGAAGGTTGGGTCCTGGAAAAAAAGCAGCCTCCCATTTTCAGGAGGGTTTCCAGTTTCCCAAATTTCAATTATGAACCTAGTTTAGTCTGAAAAGATGTCATGACCATTAGTATCAAACACATGAATTGTGTTTGTTCATTCAGACTATCACTATGACTGTGCACTGAATAACTTGAGATGAGAAACCTCAACTGATATCCTCTTATCATTTGGAACAGCTCATTTATCAGTTTGCCAGGAGAAAATTCTTCCAATTAACCATATTTTGGCAGATGGAGTTTCTTAAATCGGGATTTTAAAAAACAGACAAAACTCTTGTCCCTTCCTAATTCTGGAAGAGTAAGAAATTATGATAAGAAAATGTGATGATAACAAAATAGCTTCAGTTGTGCTATCACACTATAAAAATACTTTCAAGACAAAATATTTGGCTGAACATTTCTCCTTTGTGTGCATGCAGTATTCTGTTTTGGTATTTTAAATAACTTCAGTAATGACGTTTACCAAAGTATGCTCCAAATCCTGTTTAATGCTGCTTGAGCAGAAAGGCCCACCAATATACTTGCATGGGATTATGGGCTGTTGGAGAGGCAGAATGGAGTCTGCCACCCTAGAGATGGCACATCAGACAGTTCAGGCATTCAGCTGGAAACTTCCCAGTGCACTCTGAAGACTAATCCATGGCCACCATATCTCATGTGGGGAGGCAGTACTGTTCCTGGGTGCCAGACCAACATGTAAATAGAACCATCAGATGAATGGATGATATCAGAAGTTATTGGATGCCTTTTTATTAAGGCCTGAAATAATGTGTAGCCCTCTGTACAACCAGGAGCTGTACAAGCCTCATGTTTTAATTGGACCCTGTCCTATATTTTTCCCCCCCAGAGAAAAAGAAGCAGCAGAAAGCCTCCCCTTTTTGAGCCAGCAAAAAGATGGCTTTTCCACCATGGTGGAGTGCCACAATGCTGCCCGCTGTGTGGTCAGGTGGGTTGCGTGACACCAGCTTGGGGGTGGTGTCAGGACATGAGTCATCTAAACACCATGCCCCCACACTGCCTCCAAGACAGTGTATTGTGCTGGTCTGTTTTGCCTCTTATAGTTGAGGAAGAAGGGAAAGAAGACTTACCACTCTGCAATGAGTATATTATATTCTCCTTCAATGACTGCTTTGCAGCACAGAGTAAACTATTAGACTCTTTTATGCTTCAATTCCACAGTGTAATAGTGGCTTCATAATGGCATATCAATAAAATTGAGCAAGTTTGGATTGAGGCAATTTTAAGTGCTAGAAATATGCCAGAATGTTTGGAGATTTAAAACTAAGCAAGATCATCTGTGTCAATCTACTGTCAAGCAGCTGGCAGAAATCTGTGGGGGGTTTTATCTGCATTTGAAAGAATGAATAAAAGAAGAATCAAAATGGATTCCTAAAACTAAGCTCTCATGCTAATGCTGGATATTTAAAAAAAATCTAGTTACTTTCTGGAATTGAAAGAGACCTACAGAAAAAAAGAGAGCATACGCTCCAAAAGTACAGTTGCATTCACTCTAAAAATTAAATTGCTTCCTTTGTTGTACAGTCTGCCCACTTGAACTATCAACAGAGAGAATGATATGCATATTATGTTCAGCCCACTTTTCATTAGCTAATTGGTTTCATAAACAATTTTCCTTATGCTCATTTGCCAAAATTAATATTCAAACAATGTGAATAATCCACATCAAATATTTTGGAGATGACACCAGACAGGATCAACATGTTTCACTCTGAACTACCAGATACAGATTGACATTAACTGTGCATATGGTCAGCAGACACTCACACATAGAGATGTATTTCTTCATTCAGTTTCTTCTTAAAGGAATCAACAAATAATTTCAGCTATTTTCTTCCTGCTCTGAGAAAGTCTTAGAAAACCATGCCTTTTTTCATGCATACATTCAATTTGACACTTATTCTGTGCAAAATCCACATGTGGCTGTTTTGCACAGAAAACTATTTTCTGCAAAGGGAGCAGAATTTTCTGCATGAAAAAATTATATTTTTCTACATATTATTTTCTGAGCAGAAAACCTCTTTTCAGTGCAGAAAATTCTGCTTTCTATTTAAATCAACCACAGGCAAATTTTGTGCAGAGTAAATCCACAATTACAGCTTTTTCTGTGCAGAAAATAATTCTGTTTAGAAACATTTTATATCCTGCCCAGAAAATGCAACTTCATACACAAAAATGTTGTTTTATGTGCAATAAAAAGGTATGAATTTTGCACAGAATAAGCCCCGAACTGTGAAGTTTCTCATCAGTCCAGGATTCTTCTCATCTGCATTTCTCAACCATTTTTCAAACATTTTCAAATATACTTTACATTACTACTTTCATACACAAGTTCTGCATAGATGAACAATCAAGGACATTTTTCAAAATGGGCATAAAATCAAAGCCAAGCCAAGACATATGCACACTCATAAAAATCCAACAGCCAGTTATGTTACTCTGGTGCACAGGTGAGAAAATCACACACCAACCTAACTCCTGGCAATGAAATGTCAACAATATGTTCTTTTTCATGGCACCAGAGAATGATCATCACCCCACTCTGCTATACAGTAGAGGTAGCCCTGACTACATAAATATGGAAGTACAGATGCTCACTCTTTTCAAGAAGTATTCTTTAATAATTTGCAATATTAATTTTTCACATTCATTTTCTATGGATTCTATATTCATCTTCATACAGAATTTAGAATTTTATAGAACTATGGGCCTCGGCAGACGACTAATAGAGTCGTCTCCGAGCC